TTCAGTTTTATTGCGCATCAAAAAAATCCAAACATGTCTACTAAAATCATCGACTACAGTTAAAAAATAGCGGGCACCAGTTGTAGATGCCATATGATATGGCCCCCATATATCACAGTGAAGTAAATCAAAAGGATGTAAACAACGTTTATTATTAATAGGAAAAGGACTTCGTGGTTGTTTGGCTTTACAACAAACGTCACAAGGAGCCAAATTGTTTGCATTGGAAATAAAAGGTAACAAAGATAAATAACGGGAAGATGGATGTCCTAGACGACGATGCCATAGTGCTGCAGAATCTGACGTACTGGCAACATGAGCAGAAGCTGATGATGCACACAATATATACACCCCTTCTCGTTCAACACCCGTTCCAATCGTCCTCTTCTGCTTTAGGTCCTGTATCAAACAAACAGAATTAACAAACAATGCCAAGCAAGACTGGCGCAGAAGCTGAGATACAAAAATCAAATTACAAGCCAACGAAGGGACATAAAGAACATTGGAGAGATGAAGAGAAGAGCCCAAAGTAATGCTGCCACATTGCGTAGCAATATCATGAACTCCATTCGGCAGTCCCACAGAACAAGGAGAAATAGAATGCACATTGGATAGATAGGAGAGTGTGCCCGTCATGTGTTGGGATGCACCACTGTCGATGATCCAAGATGGGTGTAAATTCTTACCCGTAAGTTTATCAACTGGAGGGGCAGAAGAGACAGCCAAGGACATGAGATGTTGTAGAACTTCTGGTGTAAAATCTGCCATGGAGATGGATGCTGATGACGGCTCAGAAGGAACCGAAGGCAGAGAAGTATGAGCAGCCCAATTTTCATAATTGGATTGTCCACGGAGGATGACCGTGGTGAGAACAGCACCAGGATTGTCGGATGGGTGCAGGTAAAAGGGTGACTTAGAATCAGAAACCTTGAAGGTTTTAGGTGCGGAAGTCATGATGAAAAAAAAAAAAAAAAGTGAAGGCTTGTTGATCGTCAAGCTCTTGATACCATAACAGAAGTTGCTGTCATTCGCAGCTTAATGATATATCAAATTGGGTCTATTATATAGACCAAGATTTACAATTGGTTACATCAGGAAATCAGCTAAACTCAAGGAACAGAAAGCATAAATCAAGCTAATCTATTTACATCAGGAAATCAGCTAAACTTAAGGAACAGAAAGCATAAATCAAGCTAATCAGGAAATCAGCTAAAACTAAGGAACAGAAAGCATAAATCAAGCTAATCTATTTACATCAGGAAATCAGCTAAAACTAAGGAACAGAAAGCATAAATCAAGCTAATCTATTTTAATATACAAGGTAACAAACCGTGATAGTTACAATCAGGATCCTAACAAATTAATGCTACTCTAATAATTATTCTAACATGGCTACCCATGCTTTCATCATGAAGATAAGATTCCCACAATTGCTGAACATCTTCACGTGCTTCCTCTCAACGTGTTTTTTTCATCTTCATCTCCACAGCTGCGTACGGGTGTTTGTCTTCATGAGCCTTTTTGCTTTCCCATGTATTGATCATGCTCATGCCTGTTGAGATATATAAAATCATTAACGTAGCCAAACTCAAAAGCTTAAGTTATTGGGTGAGGCCACATTAATGGTTTTATATATCTCGACATGCTCCCTCACACGAGAGCCCACTGGGCTTGAAGGGTGGACAATGCACAGGCCCACCTACCTGTGCGAAGAAAGAAATTCCACTTGAAAGAAAGTGAGGGGCGACGAGGATCGAACTCGGAACACAAGACTCTGATACCATTTAAAATAACAAGAGAAGGGAGGAACATTGAGAGAAAACTGTATCTATTGAACTGGATATATAATGTACAATATATAGACACACTAATGAACTTAGCCCAGACCTAATACAAAATCCTAAAGAAATAAAGAAACAAATATTACAGATATACAAAGATATATTCTTTCTACCACTCCCCTTCAAGTTGGAGCGTATAGATCATATGCACAACGCTTGTTACATATAAACTCTAGTCGAGGATCCCTTAAAGACTTTGTAAATACATCTGCTAATTGATCATTAGAGGGTACAAAACTAGTTGTAATTTCACCAGTAAGAACCTTTTCTCGAACAAAGTGACAATCTATTTCTATATGCTTGGTTCTTTCATGAAACACTGGATTTGACGAATTGTGTAGAGCTGCTTGGTCATAAATGAGAGTTTCCTGTCCAGTGTCTCCAAACTTAAGCTCTCTGAGAAGTTGTTTCAGCCATATAAGCTCACAAGTAGTAGTCGCCATGGAGCGGTATTCTGCTTTAGCACTTGATCTAGCAACTACATTTTGTTTCTTACTTTTCCAAGAAATCAAGTTGCCTCCAACCAAGACACAATACCCAGAAGTTGATCTCCTATCAGCTGGACAACCAGACCAATCAGCATCACAGTACCCAACAACATTATCATGATCTTTATCTTCATATTCAAGGCCTTTTCCTGAAGATGCCTTGATATACTTAAGAATACGAATGGTGGCATTCCAATGTTCTTGACATGGAGAATTAAGAAATTGACTTACCACACTAAGATCCTGTTTCGATCCTCTTATTTTAAGCCAGAATCTACTTATAAGCTAAAGCTAAAAAAAAGAGTTTAAAAAAAAAGCTAAAAGCTGTTTGAAAATTACATAAAAATTTAGCTTAAAAATTACTTAAAAGCACTTGTTTCAAAAAAAGTATCTCTCTATATATCTTTATCACTCTTCATTTTAAAAAAAGCACATAATTCAAGAAAAACAGATAAGAGTTTAAAAAAAAGCTCCTCATAGGAGCTTTTAGTTTTCAGTTTTTTTCTTCATTATAAAAAAAGTAGCTTCTAGCTTAAAAAAGAGAGGATCCAAACAGGCACTAACTGCAAATGAAATATCAGGGCGAGTGATTGTGAGGTAGTTCAATTTTCCATCCAATCATCTATACTGCTCAGGATCTGAAAATGGCTCCCCCTGATTTGGTAGAAGCTTGATACTTGGATCCATAGTAGTATCAACAGACTTAGAATTTAACAAACCGGTAATATCCAGAGCCTATTTCCTCTGAGATATCACAACTCCACCTTTAGATTGGGCCACCTCGATTCCCAAGAAATATCGAAGTTTTTCAAGATCATTAGTCTGAAAATGGTGACGTAAATGTTGTTTCAACTGAGTGATCCCATGACTATCACTACTTGTGATGGCAATATCATCCACATATACCACCAGGTAAATAGATCAAGAAGCTGAATGACGATAAAAGAGAGAATGATCAGCTTCACTCCGAGTCATGCCAAATTGTTGAACAACACTGCTAAATTTACAAAAACAAGCTCTTGGAGATTGCTTTAGACCATATAGAGACTTGCAAAGACAACAAACAAGACCTGACTCCCCTTGAGCAACAAATTCGAGAGGTTGCTCCATATAAATTTCCTCCTCAAGATCACCATGAAGAAAATAATTCTTAATATCAAGTTGATAGAGAGGTCAATGATGAATAGCAGCCATGGCAATAAAGAGGCGAGCTGATGGAAGAGGAACCAGATCCCACGTACCATTATGATGAAGGGCACTCATTTCATCAATCATAGCTTGTCTCCATCCCGAATGTGAAAGTGCATCCTTTTTGCTTTCCCATGTATTGATCATGCCCATGCCAAACTCACATGATGAAGAGAGAAAACAAAACCACAAGAGATGACCCTCTTTTTTTCTTCTGCCAAATGCACCATTCTTGCAGGATATGGGTCTCAGTGCTCTATTATCTCCTGTTATGAATTTTCAAATCTTAATTTGTTCATGTACACCAAGATCAGAATAACGAGATGTTTTTAAGTGCTCCCCAGACATTTTTATTGGGTGGGACAAACCAATGAAATTATAAGAGAGAAGGAAAAACAGAGGAGAGAGAAGAGAATAAGTTTTTTTTTAATCCACATGTCATCCTCTCAATGGGAGGAGCACAAAGTCCTGGTGTGCTGACACCCCTTTTCAGAGTGTTTTATGCAACAGCGAAGTATGGGTTAAGTGAAAATACATAAAAAAAATTTCAAGGAAGTTCACACATTTTTTTATTTTTCGATTATAACTAAAAATAAAGAAAATAAAATGTGAATTAAAAGGCCATATAAAATAATAAATAAAAGAAAAATTATTGAACAAAAATTGTTTATATGAATGTATTTGGTCAAAACACGGTGTTCACAAGCGTCAACAAATCTTCAACTATACTGTGGAGAATGGCATCAATCTCTTTGATACTGCTAATTCTTATGGTACAAGAATGTTAAATGGGCAGAGCGAGAAGCTTTTGGGGACGTTCATTCGAGAATTTCAAGGTCCATCACACACACTCCTTTCTCAGTTTCATTTAATTTGGTATAAATTAATTGTAACTTGGTTCTGCTCTTAATTCATGGTTTTATTGTTTAATTTATGTTTATTTGCAATGTCATGCTTAGCCAGCCTAATTATTCACATAAATGTGTTACTTCAAAGTTTGTTCAATGAGTATCTTGTATGATTTGTAGCAAGAACAGTAAAGGCTTCTCCACATACTAGTAGAAACAAGGGCTCTTTCATACACCTCTAAATAGGAAAAATCTAGTTTGCAGCGTGCAATATACCTAGGTATCTTCCTATATATCGGGATAAATAATTCAAAGGATTCAGAATATGAACTATATCCGAATATTTCCTTTATATCTGAATAAACAGGGTAGATGAGTGATATATTTTAGTACAGGGACAAAGTGATAATTATTTATTAATAAAAGAGTATAATGATAAAAAAAGCCATTAGATTAAAGTCTTTATGTTTTTTCTTACCAATAAAACAACAAAATAAAAAAGCAACTCAAGCTTAATTGATTTAAAATTCATTTTTTTAACTTATCACATAATATAAATTTTTGTTGGCAATTAGAGGAGCATTTTCAGTGCCAGCTCACATACCAAATTTTTTGTTTATTTTATATTCAGTAAATGAAAGCACAACGTTACATTTAATTGGGGCATTACTTGTCTGAGACTATGGAAGAGGAATAATGCCCGTCACACAGAGACATCCTTAAAAAAAAAAAAAGTGGTACCCACCAATACAAGGGAAAAAAGAAGAAGTCATTTGTCTATGTATTTCGAAGTGTGGCAAAAAAACTCTTTCTACAATAAAAGTAGAAATAGTTTTCTGATTTATTTATTATCTTTTAATTTAGCCCACGGTTCACTGTCTGAAATCTGAATCTTCCAAAATTATATGCTTTGTTTCAGTGTGTTTCCAATGTCAATCACAAATCGATATTTGACATCTGCTTTGTGGAGGCGCTCCATTGCTGTGTTGACATAATCAATAGGAATGATCTCAATGTCCGGTTTCACACTGTGTTTAGCAGCAAAATCAAGCATTTCTTGTGTCTCCTTCAACCCTCCAATGTTACTGCCAGCTACTAACTTTCTCCCTGCCAATAATGTGGACCAAATTAAGCATTTTATTAATTAGACACAACCTATGGAAATATTTTTCACATGCTTACCCAGAAGTAAAGGAAAGACTGGCAGCTCCAGAGGCTTTTCTGGTGCACCAACCATCACAAGCTTTCCATGAGACTTGAGTAAACCAATCAGAGGTAAGAGAGGATGAACTGCAGAAACTGTGTCAATAATTCCATCCAAAGTGCCCACTGCAGCCTACAAAATGTGCAAAATTAGCTAATTAATCATCATTGTCAATTTCTGAAAGGAATTAATGTATTCACAATGCAAATGGTATGTACCTGCATCTGATCTTTGTCACGGCTTATCAGAAACGAGTCAGCTCCCAGATGTCCTATTGCTTCCTCCTTTTTGTTGGGTGATGTACTAATTACAGTCACATTAGCTCCAAAAGCTTTGGCAAACTTAACAGCCATATGGCCTAGTCCACCTAGACCAACCACACCCACATGTAGACCAGGCTTGTCAAGTCCATAATATCTGAGAGGGCTATAAACTGTGATCCCAGCACAAAGGAGAGGAGCAGCAGCATCAAGTGGCAAGCCATCAGGAATGTGAACCACAAAGTGCTCCTCTGCAACCATAGAGTCAGAGTAACCTCCATATGTGATGGTGTCATCAACATTCTTGACACCATATGTTAGAATAAATTTGGGGCAGTAATTCTCAAGATTGTCAGCACAGTTTTGGCATGATCTGCAGGAATCAACCAAGCATCCCACACCAACCTTGTCCCCAACTTTGAACTTTTCTACTTTGCTTCCCACCTCTGTCACTACACCAGCTATCTCATGCCTGTGTTTATTTTGGACACCAATTAGAATCAACTGGATTTACCCTTAGATATTCCATTTTAATATTTGATAAAAAAAGTGCAGCCTTATTAGATTGAACGGTCAAATTAGAATTTTAGCACATAATTATCCTTTAGGAATTATGAGTGGTTTGTTTTCTCTCCTCTTCTTGTTAGACTGGAATCTAACATTTTTAATAGGAATTTTTCTTGTAGAATTGATAGAAGTAAAATAAACATTGCTATAGAGAAAGCGTACCCAGGGACTAGTGGATAGGTAGAAAAGCTCCATTCATTCTTCAACATGTGGAGGTCTGAGTGGCATACCCCACAGTACAATACTTTGAATGCCACATCTTTCTCTCCCGTTTCCCTGAAAAATTTGATGAACCAAAGTTAAATGAAGTAGCAGACTACTTTATTATCAACACTTTATTTCCTGAGGTTTTTTATTTATTTTTTTCTCAAAGGCTAATAGAACTAGAGAAAAGCAATATATAAGTAAAGAAGTTGTATGATCAAATGAAGAGATGAGATGAGTGAACCTTCTGGAGAAATTAAAAGGGGAGAGGAAACCAGAAGTATCCCTAGCTGCCCATCCGAAGGCCTTCCTAGGATGCTCAACTTCAGGATGTGCTGCCATTATCACTTTGAAGGGAAGGACTGCGTCTCCTTGGGTTTCACTGAAATGGATAACTGAGACAAAGAAGCTATTTATACAGTGCGGGGTGTTTCTTATGTAAAAGAGAAACCCTCTACGGCTCTACCCCAATTTTTTTTTTTTTTTTTTTTTGTATCAAAATATTAATGTCTGTTATACATTGTGATTTGTGTTCTTGTTCATTTTGATGAGGTATTGTATATTGTAATGCATAAGCCGCCGGAGGAGTCCCTTCCCAGTACCCACTACTATCGAATATCCGTTAAACAAATGGCAATAGTGATTTCATCCATTACGTCATACCCTTTAATAATAATAAAACATCACAAACAGTAAATGCACCCATCAATCATCGTGATATTATAATGGTTAAAGGATTCCTCGAATAATTTATTTCAAAATTATATTATTTTAGAATAATAAAATATTTTTATAATTTTAATATATTTTAAGATTATATTAATTTTTATTATTATAATTTTTTAATCTTATAATTTTAAAACGACGTTATTTGAAGGTAACTCGATGTAACCTTATTTCTAATGACTGAATAAATATTTTTTCCTACTTTAATTCAGAGATTTTTTATTTTGTTTTTCGAACGCTGCGAATTTGGAATTAAAAATAGTTAAGTGTGATAGATTAGTTAAGTTGATAATAATAAAATTGAGTAAATGAAAAGAAAAAGATATCAGTTCTATTTTTATATATTATTTTTGGGATGAATTTAAATATTTTTATCTCTAAATCGATCCGCACTCTGAGATAATTTTATAGCCAGCTTAAAGAGCTGAAGTTTATGAGAATACCAGAAGAGTCATGCCTCAAATAAATAATTAAAGTTGAATTATTTCCAAAAAAAAAAAGAAACAAAGAAAAGTGTTAAAACAACCATCATATTATTATTATTATTATTATTTTTGTGGGTTTATTTTTTCTACAGTTGCTGCAGAAAGAAAAATTTTGCAGCAGATAGAAAAAAAATGAATCCTAATTTTATTTTATTTTTTAAAAAAAATCAGAATCCGACACCATATCCTGATAATTGATAAATATGTTTCTGTTGCATAAGAACTCCTTTTGCAACAAGATAAGAAGTATAATCACCTATTATTATTATTTTAAAATATTTCAGCGTTGAGTGAGATCAATTTTATCACCATAATTCGTCGATAGATCTCACACACATTAGAGATTATTTTTGCCATGATATATGATTATTGGTATAAATGGCAAAATCCCAATTTGCAGACCCCAATTGGCAAAACCGCTAAGGCACAAATGGCAAAACCCCAATTTTTACTATTGTTCTAATTTAAAGAGAAAGAATGGTTGAGACGGAGAAAATGGCATACCTAGATAGAAGGTGAAAGAGGATGAAAGAGAATAACTGAATAAAAAATACGATTATAAGAATTAATTGTAAGCCATTAAATTTAATTGTGATCTCTAACAATAATTAAGTTGGTTATAAAGATAATAATTTTTTTTGTGATAACTGATAAGTATAATTCTTCCCCAAAAACAATAGTCAACTAAGATGGGCACAGCTGGCTAAGGGTTTAATCCATACCCCAAAAGGGCGTGGGTACAAACTCCGCTGGCCGATGTGAGCACTTTGTTAGTGAGTGATATGTAATTCCTCTCAGAAATTCTCAAAGAGGTTGAGGGGTCTTCTCTGACCTTAGTGGGATACCGGTGTCTAATCTCACTTATACTTTCGTCCAATCAAGAGACAAAAATGGATTATTGACTGAAAATAAGAATTATTTCCAGCGCAAGTGTTCCATGCTAGAAAAATTTATGTCATTTTTTGTAAAGAACACTTTAAAAGTTATATATCTAACATCATGGAATCTAATTAATTTATATATAAATATAATCAAATGGTGGTTGATTATTGTCAATATCACATTCAATTAATAATTTGTCAACATTTAACAGGACAATCTAACGAAGGAATAATGTTACAATTAGGCGCTCACCAAAAAAAATGTTACAATTATGCATCTCCATTCTGCCACCATATGATTGTGTTTTATTTGCTTTTAGCCAATTATATATGTATATAGGTAGAAAAGATTAACTTATATTGATATAAGTATAATATATTTTACATTTTTTTAATTATTAATATCACTTAAATTTAACGATTCTTTCATAATTTGCATAATAAATAAAGAGAATTGTTTTTTTATATTATATAAGAAAAAATAATTTTCTTACACTCACAAAAAAAAAAATAATAATAAGAAAGAAAAAAATTTTAAAATAAATCTTACGTAAAATTTATGTGTATAGAAAAATTATATTTTTTTATACAACATAAAAAAAATAATCTCCCTAAACAAATTAGAACATTCAAATGGAGCCAATCAATTAATAATAATTGTTCGGTGCAATTATTGACCGAAAGTGTACAATTGCAGGTACAATTATTGCCCTGTGGAAATGACAATCTTGAGCACATACTTTTCTTAGAATATGATTTTTTTATTTAAAATGATTGTTCCCTTTTACTTTTTGTTGATTAAAGATGATTGAATACTAGAGAGAAAGTCATTGGGTTGATTAAAGATGTAACTGAAATCGGTTCAGGAGGTTATACAAAACGGTCTTGGAGGTTATATTTTCATCCCCCACAAGCACAGTGGTCGAAGGTGATGAGACACGAAGCTTGTCAGTGAACGTTGAGAAATTTGAATTGGAAATTGCCTTGGTGAGGCCATATGCTATTTGGTTGACAGCAGGGGTGTGGTAGATGAAGACTGCTTTAGCAACAACTTTTTCACAAACAAAAAACAAATCCAGCTCAAAGTGTTTTGTATGAGAATGAAATAGCGGATTAGGAGGGAGCATGGCAATTGACAACACTCGGATTGTCACAATAGATGGTCAGTACCTTAGCTAGGGATACACGAAGTTCAGTGAGAAGAGAACCCACCCATGTGAGCTCGGTAATAGTGGCTGCAATGCACCTATATTCAGCTTGAGTATTGGAGCGGCTTAGAGAACCAAGAAATGAGGTTGCCACCAAAGTAGACACAAAATCCAGATGTTGATTGACGATCATCAGGATCAGACCCCCAATCGGAGTCATAGAAGGCTGCAAGATGAAAGTGAGAGGAAGGAGTGAAGTTTAGGCCATGAGATGGAGTTCCACTAAGGTAGCAAATAATTCTTTTGACCGCCTTCTAGTGAATGTCAAGTGGATGATGCATAAATTGACACATTTTATTGACACAATAAGCAATCTTAGGACGAGTAATGATGACATATTAAAAAGCACCTACAATGGAACGATACAGAGATGGATCATGAAAGGTAAAGCCACTGATGGAGGATAGTTTGAGACCTGAAAGCATAGGAGAAGGCATAGGCTTGCAATTTGACATTTTGACTTTCTACAACAAGTCAGTTATGTATTTTGATTGGCTGAGATGTATAGCTCCATTGGTTTTTGACATGCTTCAATGCCCAAATAGTAATGAATCTGACCAAGATCTTTAAGAGCAAAAGCAGCATTGAGCTGGGCGATAAGTGGAGAAATGACAGACGATGAGGAGCTAGTAATGAGTATGTCATCGACATATACCAGAACATAAGTAGTTGTTGCAGCAATATAAGAAACAAAAAGAGAACTATCATATTTGGTTGCCATAAATCCAAGATGGATCAGAGTTGAACTCAACTTGGTAAACCAAGCACGAGGTGCTTGTTTGAGACCGTATAAGGCTTTAGTTAATTGATAGACTAGTGACTTATCTTGAGCCACGAAACCTGGAGGTTGCTCCATAAAGACTTCTTTTGTTAGATCACCACCATTTAAAAATGCATTGTTTACGTCAAGTTGATGAATGAGCTATTTCCTAGAAACAACAATGGACAGAATAAGACAGATGGTGGTTGGTTTTACAACTAGACTGAAGGTTTCTCCATAATCGAAGCCTTCCTGCCGGTGAAAGTCCTTTGCAACCAGTCTTGCTTTGTACTTGAGAATAGAACCATCTGGATCATATTTGGTACGAAATACCCATTTACACTTATGTTTTATTTTTCATAAGTGCATCAAATTCAACTTGCATTGCAGCGAACCAATGAGGTTAGGTAAGTGCTTGAGCCACTATTGTAGGCTTTAAAGAAGCTGTGAAGGTTCGTGGTTAGAACATGCCAGGCTTTGCACGAGTAACCATGGGGTGGTTGTTGACAGCCTGTGGATGAGATTCAGCTTGATTGGACCTGCAAGAGGAAGCAACAATAGACTGTGCAATAGGCAGTGTATAGTTAGTTAGCAGAATTTGTAGTGCATATAGCATTAGTGTCACTAGATGTGTGTGGTAGTTGGACTACTGGTATGGATGGTGTAGTGGTTGGCAGACATGAAGAGGGCATAAGTGTTTCATCAGGTGATGACAATTTGAAGGGAAAGAAACTTTCATCAAATAATACTTTTATGAAGACAATAATACGACCAGACTGAGTTAGGCACTTGTAACTTCTGTGAGATGGGTTGTAACCAAGAAAGATGCATTCAGAGGATCTGAAATCAAGTTTGTGAGAGTTATAGGGTCGGAGATAAGGGTAGCAAGCACTGCCAAAGGTTTCGAGAAATGAGTAGTTAGGAGCTTTCTTGAACAGGATTTCAAAAGTGGATTTGTTTTTTAGGGTTGGTGAAGGGAGTACGTTGATGCTGAAGGTAGAGGTGAGAAAAGCATCCTCCCAATATTTTTGAGGTGTGGATGCAGCTGCCATTAAAGCCATACCAGTTTCCACTACATGCATGTGCTTTCTTTCGGGTATGCCATTCTACTAATGGGTGTATGGGCAAGAAAAACGATGGATGATACCATGGTTTTGAAGAAAAAGAGTAAGTTCTATGTATTCTTTGCCATTATCAGTTTGCAATGTTTTGATCTTAGCATTGAACTGAAGTCCAACCATGGATTTGAATTGGATGAATACTGTAAATGCTTGGGATTTAGTTTTTAACGGGTAGATCTATGTATAACGGCTAAATGCATCAAGGAAACAAATATAATACCTCGATCCATACGAGCTATCCACAGGTGCAGGTCCCTAAATATCAGAGAAAATTAATTCAAGTGGATGATGATAGATAACGGTTGAGGGAATGAATGGAAGTTTATGCATTTTACCCATACAACAAGCACAAT